GCCAACAAAGAATCTTGTAAATATAATAAATAAATAAATAAAAATGATGCTTTTCATCAATAACATCCATCAAAACTAAGATGAAGAATAACAAATCTTTGTTATAAAAAAATAAAAATCAAAGATGATAGCATTCTACTTTTTACTCTTATTTGTAATTTTTGTATATTTGTGATGCTAAAGAGATGGAAAACCAACAACTAACATATTCAACTCAAGATCTATTACTTGTTGATCTACTAGACAAGACATTGTGATTGTTACAATCTTTAACATGACATAATTGAGATAAAGATCTTAAATAGGACATTTCTTTCCTCATATATATGGTGGGATATAATATGTTTGGTATCATGATCTTAGAAGAGTCTCCCAACATTTGATGATTTTATTAAAGGTAAAAATGATTTTTGATGGTATTTCAGATGTTTTATTTGAAAAGAGTTAGGAAGGCCTCAAATTGCTCTTCATGGAACTCATCTTTAAAAGAAATATATATATATATATCTGGGATGAGTTATATTAAGAGCGGTCATATATATTTATTCTAATATTTTCTTCTATGATTAAATAGAAGTAGGTAAAAATAGATTTAATTTATAATATTTTTTAGAAAAGCTTCTTAAAAGATTTATAAAATTTGCTTTAACTTTATATATATTTGTAGTTAATTAATAGGATAGAAACTTAGACAATAAATTAACCACATGTTGATAGCTTGCGAAACAAATTAACTATATAGCATACATATAAAAAACTTGCTTTGCAAGTTAAGATACATATATTGCAAAGTCAACACGTTTTCGAGGTCCTACAAGATATTACCATATAGCTCCTAGTTTAGAATATATATAGAGGCAAGAGTTAAGCCTTTTTTATTCTTATCAATGCCTTTCTAGTCATAAGTCTTATTTCAAGGCTTTTTTGTCTTCTTGCTATTTTAGTTTAATATTATATCATCTTTAAGTAATTTTTAGTCTTTTTGAGTGATACAAGAGTATATTGATATTTTAATTGTTTAAAGTTTATATCCTTAAGAAGACTCGAAATGAAGAAAATGAGGAAATGTAATAGAGATGAGAAGAATAGCAGTAGGAATTAGAAGGATATAATGATAGTTTAGATATGTAGATAAATTTAATATAATTATATATTAAATTAATATATATATATATATATATATATATATAGTTCTTAATTGATGTATCATTAATATTTTTTTTCTATTCTATCATTTTTTTTTTCTTAACAATTATTCATTTTTTGAATGGTTTTTTTATGTGAGGTCTATAATATACTATAGTCTTTGATTTGGTAGCAAAATAAATATCCAATAATATATTATTTCATGCAAATTTTATTTTAAATATTTATTTTTTTGCTTAATTATATATATTATTATTTCTGACTTAATTAATTTGAATAAATTTAGCAATTCTTAAAGTTTTACTGTGACTCTAAGAAAGTTCAAGTATGTATAAATTTTTTCAGTCTACTCAATAATTTATTATTTTTATATATTTATATATTTATTTATATTTAGAATTATTTTATTATCTTTAATAATTTACATAATATTTTAAATTTATATCAACTATTTAAAAAATACTTTAATTAAAATGAAATTTGTGATTTTATTTTGTAGAGAATTTTAATATCTATATTATGCAAGATTCCAATAAATGCAAGAATGTTTTCACTATTATGTTTGTATTCAACTTCACATTGTACTTACTAAAACTAGTTTCATTTTATTTTTTTTCTAGATTTTTTTTTTTGATAATATTAATGATTATGAAATTTTAAAATAAGAAATAAGAAATAAGAAATCTTTAAATAAAAACACTCCTTTTTCTATAGAACCTTCAAGATTAAACAAATGTAATAGATATTTTTATATATAATTTCTTTATTATTTTATTTACATAATTGGTATATTAATTTTAAGTAATATAAATAATATTAGTTTTACTGAAAAAATAGTGTTATTCTATGAACTTGTTGGGTTAATTTTAGATTTATTTTTTTTTCAAGAAAATTATTGAACAAAGGTATAAACAATAAATTTTTAGCCATTTTAACATAAATAGTATTATTTTAAGAAAAAAAGTATTTTTATTTACTAATTTTAACTTAGCAATAAACTAATAGAAGTGAATATCATATATTACATAGTAATATTAACAAATAAAGTTTTAATTTTTCTAATTTTATTATTTTTAATACAATTTGTTAACAAATTTCATGTCTTAATTATCACAATAACTTTATCTTGCATTCATAATTCTATAATAAATACACGTGTTTTATAATTCTGATTTAGAATTTGTATTTGATTAGATTTGCTTTGATATATATATATATATATATATATATATATATATATATATTATTTGTGGTTTTTTTACTAATACATTGAATCATTTAATATGGCTTTTTCTAAATCATGTTAATTATCTTATAACATATTCTCTAAACTCTCTCAAGTCCTGATTCATTCATTTATTCAAAAAAAAAATCTATTTCATTGCATATTAGCAATAGAATTTTAATCAAGTTATCAAAATAAATTAATATATAGATACTTTTATTCTTTTAGATAAATAATTAAAATAAATTCTAAAAAATATATAAATTTTAAATGCAATTTTTTTATTAATTTTTAATATAATATAATAAAACTCTAAAATATTATTATTTTATTGTAATTAATTTTGGAAGAATAAAATAAAAATATTTTTTAAGAGTATATTAAAAAAATCATGAAGAATGTTATAAGTATAAAATATATATATATATATCAAATTAATAATAGTCAATTATGAAATTAAAAACAAAATAAGACCAAGATATTCTTCATTGTTACCTCTAATATATATTGTGACAACCAGGTTTCACATCAATTTTGGAGGAGGTTTTTAGGTCTATTAGAGATATTAAATATTAAAAAATGTTAAATAGATTTATCTATTAACTAAATCAATCCATTCATTTACTAAATTGTTCCATCCTATTGCATCCATTATTAGAACTATCAATCATTTCTAGAAACCATTATTAAAATCTTAGCCCTCATCTCAATTCTTCTTTGTTTTTAATCCGTGCTTCCTCCATTTCTAGCCTTCATTTCAATCGTCCTCCCCTCAATCCTCTTATTTTTCATGTTCCCGACCCGCATTCCAAACTCCTTTGTTTCCAACCTCGTTTTCAATATCTTCACTATTATCAATCCTCATACTAACTCCCATTAGAATTTTGAGAGTTTGTTGTAAATTTAAAGAATAAAAGGTCAAAAAGGAAGAAAGGTGTATTACAGCAAGACATGAAAATGGTAGAGCTAGTAGTAACTGAGGTTGATACATAACTTCTATAGAATGCTTTTGTGAGTTTGAGCTCTCACTTAAGTCTTTATCCTCTTGTTTCCTAATTTATTCAATTTGATTATCTCAATCAAGAAACAATAAACCATATTGCAACTTAAGTTAATGTATTATTTATAATATTATTTGAATGTTTTAATTTCAAACTATATGAACTTATTAAAATATTATCTAAATGTGCAATAAATATAAATTGAATTTATTATCGAAGTTTTGTATAGCAATGCATATTTTAAATATAATTACTTATTTGTTAGTGTACAAAGATTATCAATATAAGTTTTATAACTATTTACATGTTGAATAATTTAGAAATAAACTCTTCTATGCTTATTATACATAGTTATAGAGCCAATGGAAGTTGAATTAGAATATTAATGCCAAAAATGGCAAAAATTTGTCATTTAGTGTTAAAAGAGATATTTGTGCCATAACTTGACTCTAGCATTTGTACCAAATATCTCTAAGCATTTAAAAATACTAATAATATATTTTTTTTACTTTTAAATAAAACAACTTAAAGATTAATAAATTTGAATCTCAATTTGTATAATATGCATTTTGTTGCGTACATTGCTTCAAAATTTTAAAATTTTAAATCTTATATATTCTAATTCATTAATTATAAAAATTTCTATATATAAATGTGTGTGTGTGTATATATATATATATATATATATATGTATTCTACATTAAGTTGTAGTATTTTAAGCCATCATTGTAGATTTGGTATTATATCAAAAATCCTAATAGATCAAATGAAATCCTTGTGCTAGTTTTTAAATAAATCAAAGAAGAAATTTTAGTTATATTTATTTATCTGATTAACAAATATCATGCAGGAATTGTATAATTTCATTCTCAAATATGTGCCTAAATTATACAATTTATTTTTGTATATTGATAATTTGATAATTATAATATTTTTAATGTTTTTAAGTCACTGTGTTAATTTGTAAAATCTATAAGACTACACAATTGTATAATATTTTAAAAATTAAACAAAAGACTACTTTAAGAATAGACATGGAATTGATATATGTATATATATAAATATACACACATACAGAACTTATATTTTGACATTCTAAATATAATAAATATTATTTTATTTGTAATTAAAATATAACACATTGTCTTTAAAGCACTTTTTAGACATAAGAATATTTTTAGTATTAATGTTATGATTGATTTTTATTTTATATATATGTATGTATGTATGTATGTATGTATGTATGTATGTATGTATGTATGTATGTATGTATATGTGTATATATATGTATGTATATATTTTTTACTGTGCATGATAGCATTTTTAGGAGAAATGCTAATGTAAAAGGAAAACATATATATATATATATATATAGATAATAGTTGATTGTAATAAATGCATAATATTTTTAAGAAAGCACACTTTTAAGAAGAGATGCTATATAAACACCATCAGTAAGTGATACAATAAACAAAGAAATAAAAAAAAAAAAAAAAATGTATGCATCATATTATTAAAAAGAGCATGTAATATTTGTAGTATGTTATTATCTGATTTGTTGATACTAGAATAATGTGAGTGGACAAAAGCGTACTATAAATTCACCTGGATTAATCATACAAAGAATATAAACACATTGCTTATAGCATGATAATTTATTGAATATTCAATATCCATCTGTTCCTTGAAACAAATAATGCAATGCCTTCTTCTAATTAGTAGCCACGAGCTTGAAATAAATCTCCTACGCATTGTCAAGCAACAGCTTCGCAAATTATGATTCATCTAAAATGTCTCCAGAGCATCATTTCTGTAGCCATCCTTGAAGCACTAATTCAATCAATGACAAGCATTTGTAAACCTGGTTCACAGTGTAAGCTGAAGCATCATACTTCGTTGTTGTCGCTTCCCACAAACTTTTGCCTCCTCCAACCCTACTGAAAAATTAGTTTTAACATTGAATAATTACAATACTGAAATCACTCAAATCATCTTGTTTCTGTTAGTTGAGGAGAAACGGGGACATCATGACTTGTGATTTGAGGGGGTGATTCTTCCGTGGACTGTTGGCCTCGGAAATGTGTAGTTGCACTGAAACAACCAGTTGCTGAATCTTGGAAAACCAACAGGCAAGCCTGTTCTATGGGGTAGTATTAGCAGGGACTGTTTAAAGAGGACGTTGTACAACTTTCGCTGTTTACCTTAAAGTTCACATTAGTCGATTGGCAAAGCCCCTGCGTGTGCTTTCCCACGAAGAAACAGAGCTTTGGTTACATTTGGATCTTGCGCAGTCACGTCGAGCAATCCACCAACTCATGAATGTTTTCGGACTTTCGAGACTCTGTTGGAGAACAGTTGAAAATATCAAGCCCAGCTTCACGGTCTCGCATCAGAAGGCCCTTCGTGTTTTTTGATCCATTCATGGTTGGTGGCGGCACCATTCACAGTATCAAATGCTCAACTTTCAGAATGTGACTGGATTCGTATGAAAATATCAAAAACATCAGCACATTTATAAGTCACCCCGAGAGCATCGTAAGAACACATCGTTTTGCTTATACCACATGCCATTGCTAAGGACAAAGAAAAATGTCACCACTGATCAGGAAGCGATGGCTTACTCAAAGGTATGTAGTTGGAGCATGCAGGCAGCAAGATTATCATGCCCAAGATTCTTTGCAGCAATCGCAATGTTATTGTACTCGCCCATGTGTTGATAAATGGAATCATCACCCATACATGCGAGTGCTTGCGAACCCAGCAGTTACTGTATGTGACCTATTAGCTTGATGTACATGGCAACTGCTAATTAAGTGTAATCCACAAGATGAATCGATCAACATGAATTCATGAGTTTCCCATGAAACGAGTTAGAATACTGGAAAGAAATAGGTGGGTATCATTCCGTATTGCTGCATAGCTTCTACAAGGTTTCTCCCCTTGAAACACTTCATTTCCATCCACTCCCAAACGATCTGAGGCCTCGAGGCGCTACTCCACCACCATCCCTCCTGGCACCCTTTTCGAGGTTTGGAAATATGATTCCAATCAAGACAACAGTCAGAAATCCCAGTCTGATTTACTGCACACATGCAAGACAAGATCAGCTGTCATTACCACTATTCACGTGGTACAGTTTGTGAACAGCGTACTTCGAGCTCTTGTAACGAACATACTTCTCGACATTCTTGATAACTAGACGAGCTCAACGTTGTGACAAGACCAGTCAAGAGCAGCACAATGGGGAAGGAAAAAACTGCCCTCCTTGCCACATGCAAGAGTAGCTAATGTGAAGGAAAACACGTTCTCCTACTTTCATGTTACTTACTCCCTTTGATTCCTTCTCTGCAGACAGAACACATCACAAGATGAGTTGGTCTTGCGTTTCCACCTGGCATCATATCCTCTTGAAAGGACTACCAACAACTGGAAGGAACTATTAACTTCCTATTTTCATTCCCACTGAAAGATTACATCAGAAAATAACGAATTTCGTACAAGATCTTGTAAGATTCTATAAATGGGAGAAACGAAATGTTTCACGCAAGCCACTCCACATATTTTTGGTTACCCATCACGGTAAGATTTCACAGCATGAGTTTCACTGCAGATAGATAATAATCACTCAAATTTCCATCCCTACATTGCAGTCATATACGTATCAAACATTCATTAATGTTCTGCCAAAGTACTAGAGCGGTGAGGTTGTGAACGAGTACCACGGCCTAACTGAATCTCTTGCGGTTGTTGCTCATTCCAAGTATCTTCAAACCTGCGCATTGTGCTTGCAATCCATGCTGGATGGTGCACTGAGAACAAAAATACCAAGGCTCTGGTCAGCATACACTGAGCAAGGTCTAAAAGAACTCCGATCACGCTGAGCATCAGCCCTAAACTGACGAGAGATACTACCAACAGTGACCCATGAAAGCGTGCCGAAGCAGCTTGAACATCTGTGAGGTCCAAGACCCAGCCCCCTCTTTCATGACTTATTGCTGACGCCATCCATCTGCAACCATTACAATGTCCAGATGCACCTTCAAGTGGAAGAAAGTGAAGAATCGTTGCCACCGAATGAGCGAATTTACAGTCTCGTCCCCCCCACTGCTGAGATCCATGATCAACCTCACTGACTGGTTGCAGTGTTTTGCACTATCCGGACTTTACTCCGGCTTAATATCTTCAGCGGAATCCAGGGGAACTTAAAAAACTTATCCTTCTTCTTCTTCTTCAAGCAAAGCCGGTGACTCTGATTCCACAGATAGTTGAGCTTCATGTTCGTGACCCATTTCACCTCACAGTCACTACTCCTTAACCGTGGTACAGAACATCACCACGTGGGTACCCCACAAAAATTGGAACTTGATCAAATACCACTCACCCAGTAGCACATATATATTCTTATATTATTATCAAGTGTTGGTGTTTTGTCTGAACAAACCAGCTAGCTGGTAGCTGTTTGTGTCCTTTCGCATGAATCTCCCCCAGAGTGAGTCTCAGTCACTCTCTCTTATCTTTGTTTCTTTCTCTCTCACTCTCTCGCTTCCTTTGTTCTGATCCTACACTCCAAAGAGGAGGGGCACACATCCCCAATGCCAGAAAGACACCATTGCTTGTTGGTTGGCGTCCAAGCAAAGCCCTCTCCGCCTTCCCTTTGACAGGGTCTTCCTCCGCCTTGGAGCAATTGCCTTGGCGGAGGACTCTAGTAGTGGTAGTGGTGGTTGTAATAGTAGTAATGTTGGGCTACCACCACCAACTTGCCATCCCATTATTTTATTTTATTTATCTTCCTATTGGTGGATAATATTATGCTTGGAGAGGGTGATGATATATATCATGCATCTGTTGCTTGTGTTTCCGTTTCCCAGTGGACGTCCAGTCTGTATCCCAAGTGTAGATATATATATTCCCTCTTTCCCAGTTCTACCCCATTTTTAATACATATTTGCGTATTTTATAGTATCAAAGGCTTCTCTGAATGAATACAAACAGGCAAGGCCAAAGGAGACAGCTCACCGCATGGTGGCCAAGTGCACAAAGGCTCACTACACTCCAGTGCATCAGAACACTCCTCGGACGAAGAATTTGTTCCTCTTCAGTCTAGACAAAAAAAACAAAACAGACAGACACGCAAACAAACAAACAAAATTTGTTTCTGGGCCTCAGTCCTTTCTGTAGGTAGGGACATCTTCTCGGCAATCCATTAAAAACCCCACAAAACCCCCCCCAAAATAAGACAAATTTTATTTGCTTCTTTTCTAAATATGCTTGCCCAGGTCCCCTCGAAATGGATGATAAAATGGATGAAGTATCAGATGGATGAATAAGCGGTTGGGGGAGGGGTAGCTTGTAGAAGAGGAGGAGCTCGCTTGACTTGTTCAATTGCCCCCTTGTGCGAAGTTCTTCTCTATCCACAGGCATCATCGTTGCTTAACTGGAACAATTTATCATTCGTCATTTTGTATGAATCTCCGGCATCGAAAAGTGACTCACACATTCATCCGCGTCCATAATCTGAACCGCCCATGGGCATAAATCATTGGCAGAATGATTATATCAATGGCCATTTGTTTTTTTTAATTAAAAAAAAAGACTTTTTCTTGTTATAATCCCCCCCCCCTGAGGAAAAAATCCAACCCTCGATTTCCTTGTTTCCTTTCATAGAATAGACCTGACTGTGCCCGATTTGACGCATGGTTTTCGTTTTTTTGGCTACATTACAAGAAAAATGTGGACACTAGGGGGTCCAAACCAATCGTTGGATGAATGAAGGTAACGATGAACGAACTACACACAAACAAAACAAACAAACAAAAAAATCATGTTTTTTTTGTTGCTGAGTTGGGTGCAATTCATCAGTTTCCAAACTTTAATCTGTTTTTCTCAATGGCAACGCTGTACAGCATTTCTCACACCACTACCCAATTCTTCAAAATCACAATTTGTACGTTAGCTCTCCTCTTAGCCTTCAATCGTTTAATAAGTTAGCAGAAATAATAGCAATAATAATAATAATAATAACAGTAAAAAATGGATTACATTTCACAAGGTGAGGAAAACGAAGCCGTTCTCAAGTGGTCGGGGGGGGGGGGGGAGATGGAAGCAGAGAGAGAGCCCTGCTTTCCCATCTGTCACCAGGTCATGAAATCAGGTAACATTCCAAGTGGATTTGTCAGTCAGTCAGTAGTAGGCATCTATCTATCTAACTACCTCATTTCCTATCTGACACCAGGTTCCAGTTTTCATTTGTCCCCAAACAGAAACTGCCCCTTTACTATATCATAGGCATCCTAACAGTGGGGTGGGGTTCTAAACACCACCCCCCTTATTGGAGGAATTCAGACATGGGGTTGTAGTGCGGGTGGGGGCCACCATCTCTATTTTGTGAATGGTAGTTATAGCCCAGTAAGTTGGGCACAAGTCCCACCTCTGTGAAAGCAACAATCACCAGCCTCACTTACTTGGATATCAATACTCTAGGGCTGGATATTTTGGTTTCTGGATTTTGTCTTGGACATCCTAACATATATTTGGATTTTACTATTTTGCTTGGAAATGGGATTGAGGCCAATGTTGAAAAGACTTCCTTTCTTAATACCACATTGTTTTGCTTGTTGTGTAGGTGTTACCATAAATTCTTGTCTTTTAAACCAGAATCCACGTGGGAATATTCAGGGTATTAAAAATTTGTATATATGTGTGTGTGTGTGTGTGTGTGTACATATTTTAGTTCACTAGGGGAAAGATATGCCAGTTCAACTTAATGTGAGGGAAAGGAAAAGAATAATAAAACTTATTAAAGAAATGATTTTTTTGAAAAAATGCCTACTACTACAACACACTGTGCGGAGATATCTAGAAAAGTCAAAAGATTAACTTTTTTTGGTGTTCCAAGGGGCCCTTCTACTTAAGAACCTTTCCTTGACCATCATAATACAGTATTCCTGATTTGGGGTATTTTTCTTGGATCATGTGCTCCCAGCAAACAGAGCACAAGTTTCTACAAAATCTGGCAACACCTCTCTTGAAATATTTCCCATACAAGAACCACATGTTTGCAATGGATATTTACATATGAGTTGAGGGAGCAATGGCAGACCCTTTGCTTGCATGGTTAGGATTTTCTCAACTCCAAATTGATGTCAATAGTTTCTTAGCTTTGATGTAGTGTCTTCTACATCTCTACTGATCCAAAATACATGCATACATACACATATATTTATACATATATAAATATAAAGTGTTAATTTCAAAGTTTCTTCTTTTATTTTATTTTTTTGATGCTCATGAAGGAGATTAGATAATTTGAAGGTAAATGTGTGTGTTAATTGGCTCAGCAAGCATGGGAATGGGATAATTATTGTGTGTAATACAAATGCAAAGGAGATCTAAAACTTACTAGGCAGAATTTGTGAAAGAAAGTGTACATCTGGAGGATAATTGAACTGCAAGTAGTTCAACAAACAATAACAAAAGGCTACTAGTTCATAGTTGCCCTCACACATTTCACAAAATATTGAGACACACTTAAGGACATTGATCTCCTAACATGAAACACCATGCAAAGAACTTCCAAAATAATTTATGTACTTTTGGAAAAAAAATTACTTTAGAGTTCAAAATTTCCAAATTAATGTGGAAGACAAATTAACATAAAACAATGATTTGTCTCCAAAATCTCATTATGACTATTGGTTCTTTTAAGGGATAAACCTTGTAATTGAGTTTTACAACAATGATTTCTTCAATTCCAAAGAAGAATAAAACAAACCTTAGAAAGATCTCAAATCATAGGTGATCTTTTTCATCCACACCAATTTATTTAAAAAAATCAAAAAATCTACAGCTAACTCTGCACAAATAAAACTTAATTGGTGTAAGTTTAATTAAAGAATAAATACCTACACTAGATACATTTGCAACAATATCAATGCAAAATTTACAAAAAAATAAATCAGCACATTATAATTAGTAATAGTATCAATCTTTTTATTTGTAAATGAAATATTAATTTTGCATAGAGTTTAGAGATTTCCTAGAGTTAAAAGATCCTAGAACTAGAAATGTTCCTCTTTTACCTAAACCAATAGCATCCTAGACTTTCAACAAAATACCTGAAAGTTCTCTAGTTTTTGGTAGTTGGAGCTTGGTTGTAGACAATTTCATGGTTTGCAGACATCATATGATTATTATTATTATTGTTATTGTTTTCTACCCTCTAATGTTCATTTAACAAATAATAAACTAAAAAAGAAAAACCCATGTGCTATAAAGAGGAAATTACCTAGAAATGAGTGTGGCCATCAGAAGATCCTATCAGAAGCACACTTCCTTTGACAGCAGTAAAAACTGCATACGATCATGGACCGAATTACCATAGCAACGACAGCAGTGAATGAATGCAGTAAGTAAGTAATGCTTCAAATTCAGTGCTGCATCAACCAAGCTGGTTTTTACCAAAGATAAAAGTAATTAATAGTTGGCTGATTTGAAAGGGAAGGAAAGAGACTAAGGGCGGGTAAATGGCGATTGGGCGGGGGACCAGCCAAAGTGTGGGCCACAGTAAAACAGAAGCAGTCATGAACAGAGCAGAACAGAATAGCAGACCAGTGCAGGTAGGAAAGGAAAGGAGGGAGCAATTGGTGTGCCTCCGTTCCGACCTCCCTTCCTACCTCCCTCCCTCCCCCGACCACCACCGGCACCACCTCATGGTGTCTCTCTCTCATTCTTTGCTGAGCTTTGACAGTTTTTAGAGGCACAGTCGCGGCCCTGATATGCATGGCCTCGTCATCCTCGCCTGCTATTCTAGGTGCGCGCGTTGCTCTCCTCTCTCTCTGACAAGCTTCTTCTTACGGCGAAGGGAGTTCTGTCGCTCAAGCGAATGAAGTATCCACCGGTTTTTGCGTTGATCCGGTTCCTGGACAGGTGCTCGGAATTGTTCTTTGCTTGATCAATTTCGGACGGGATCTGGTGACTTTTTCTTTTTTTTTTTTTTTTTTTTTTTTTGTATGAGAGGAGAGGTCGATTATGCGCGCGATTGTTTCGCGGTATAGATGCTTCAGAGGATTTTGGGAGGTAGCGTGGATTTAGTTGGAGAGAGGGGAGGGGAGTGTTTGCTTTGGAAGGTGGATGGAGAGACTTACTGCAGAGAGTGCGTTAGTGAGTTCTGCGACTCGTTTCGGAGTTTCGCTGAAGTTTTCGATGGTCTTGGTAGTGATGGCTAACTGATTTCTTTTGGCGGAGTAGAATTGAGTTGTTTTAAGATTGGAAGATAGAGCAATGTGACGATCATTTGGGACGCCAGTTAGTGATTGTGCATATGAAGCTCGCTGAGGGAGGGTTGGAGAGAATAAGAGACTGGCTGGTCGAGTGTGTGCCTCGCTTGTCGTGTGAAAATTCCCATCACATGTGCTTCAGGGATATCAATACAATCATGTGCTTACAATCACAGGCCGAGGCCAAGAAGGATTGCTCTTCCTTGGACTAGTTTGTTTCTTCACTTCTTCATGCGAGTCATCTCCACGCCTCGTCGAACTCGAGTGAATGGCTTGCAAATGTTAGCCTCCATGATGTCAATGATTGTGCTAACAGTCACTCAGTAAATTATTGAGCAAGCACTTAATTAGTTAGTATGTACTTAGCTGCTTAGTAGTGACCTTATTGTTACAAATCGAAACTGGAATCATTTTTAGCAGTTAAGTGCCAGTACCGGACATGTTTCCAGGCTATAGTACTCTCAGCAGATGTTCGTAGAGGCGATTCATTAATGGGATGTCAGTTTTGTGCATAGCTCGTGGTTTAAAATCAGAACGTGCGAAGACGTTGTAGTGGAGCGTTACTGACCAAACATAATCCAGTTTTGAAAGCCTTTTCTGGCACTTTAGGTTGCAATTTTTTTGCAGCTGTGTGTAAGAATGCTAAAGTAAGTGCTGACCTCTTTTCAAGAGTTAATTGACTACGCTGGATAAGAGAATCAATTCTGATTCAATAATAAGCACGATTTTTGCGGTTAAATTTGTAACGAGGACTTGGTCAATCTCTGGTCTTAGGGAGTCACAACTGATGAGATTTTTGTTCTCTTGCTAAAAATCTTAGCTTGTTCGTTTGAACACTTTAGTGAACACTTGACCTTGTCTGCGTCGCTGCACTCTTTGACTCAGTGCCACTCTCGAGATAGCACGAGATGCTCAGCTTTTCATGAGAGTTCTGAAGTATTTTGTGAGGATTTTATTCGATGTGTGAGCAATGATACCTTTCATGCAACTTGTGTTGTTCGGTAATTATTTGAGGTCTACTTTCTGCACTCGTTGCCTTCTGATTTACCTTTCTTTCTTTCTTTCTTTCTTTCTTTTTGTGTTTATTTAATTATTTATTTTTTTATGCAACTGCAGCAAATTTTCCTTCAACTTTGAGCGTCAACATCTCACTAAGTGCCTTTCTCACTGGAAAACTATGGAAGAACGACTCGTGCCCTCGGTTGGAAGGAGCAAAGCGAGTCTCTTCCTGTGACTGAGTAGCTCAGTGAATAAATCAGTTGCTGGGAACTACGGGGATATCAGAGGCCCTAAAACTCAGCTTACAGGAGCTAATGAAGGAGTGTAGGTTGACCCAATTTCTGGGTGGAGACTTATGCTACGCCATGAATCGACCTGTACGTGTTTGTTTCATCTAAGATTTTCTTGACGTTCTGGTAGTCGTCTGTGCTTCTAGTTCCGCAACATCAGACCGCTGCGCTAATAGTTAGATTGCCTTCACTCTATATTTATTTTCTCTTGATGAACCCCTTCTGCAGTCTTTGAAATTTATTACTTGCAATAAATGTTCATTGGTGCAGCTCTCGATTACTCGTGTGGTGCAAATTGAAAGTTAAATCTGCAGAAAAATATCACAACGTATGAGCATTGCAGTGGAGGTAAACTGGAACATCTCATGAGCTGTTTCATCTATTCCTGCTTGAGAGGATTGTTAACTGTAAACATTTTGAGCTTTCAACCCAAAGATTGCTGTCAGTTGCGTCGTCACGCTCTTGCTACCGTCAATATCCCGAATTTTATTAGCTCTATATTTCAACCAAACGATACGAATGTCTATAGTTTATTGTATTCTTTTAACTGACCTTTAGCTGCTTTCACTCTCAAGTTGTGAATCAGAGCTGAATCTTTTAATTCTCTCAAGGAATTCCTTGATCTACTTACTTATACAATTTCTCTCAGCCTGCATACCTTGAAATGCAGTCATTTCAGTCCACTTATCTGTAGTTCTATTAGTTCGGCAGGAAGATTGACATTTTGACGAATCCAAAGCATAACCTCACTTCAAATTTTAAGAGTTCTGAGATACAGGACGCTTTAGAGGTGCTTCAAATTCATCTTACAAACTCTAGCGTCGCCAATTATCAGTCTCGTAACAATATTTATGATGGTTACAGAGATCAATCTTCCTTATTTGAGGTTTGGAGGCAGCTTACGATGGGGGCTCCGGGTCCACCAGGGGGTTATGATCTTCACAAATACTTCAGAGGACCAACTCAAAGCGCTTATCCACCTCAATCGGGTGGCTACCAACCCTCATCTCCAGGCAACTCTTTTCATCATCAGCCTTCTCATGGCTCCTATCCACCTGGGAGCAATTCTCCCAGCAGCTTCCCACCAAGTTTGAATGCGTATCCTCACGTTCAAATTTCAAACTACTCATACAATGCTACGCCACCTCAACAATCCGGCTCTCCAGTGTACCATGGCCAACAGTTCATGCATTACAACCAAGATCATGGGCTTCGCACTCAGGTCCCTTATTCAACTTCTCCTTTCAGTCAGCAAGCTGCGCCACCATTTTCTCAACCTCCTTCATCTCCTTCACACTCTAACCAACCTCAATCTTCTCTTCCTTTGCCATCGTCCATTTCCTCTAACCCCAAATTCTCTCAAACCAGCTTGCCGTCTAGCCCTTCTAGTCATCCATTTGATGGACCGCGCCTCATGGCGCTCTTAACTACTCAGCAGTCCGGAGGTCAAGACGCCCACGATGATCACGAAAATCCATCTATACCCGGAGTTCCCCGTAGCTCTCCCAGGCTCTTACCCTCGTCGAGACAAACAGATGTTTCGTCTGGCAAAGAGGTGTGCGGTCCTCCACCTCCAATGTCTCCAGCATTGCCTTCAGCACCACCTGTTCCTTCTGCAGCACCAGGGCGGTTATCCTCGAAAACTTCCAAGGGACGATATCTTAGGGGCGAACATGTCATTTATGATGTGGATGTACGCAAACCGGGAGAGGCACAACCACAATTGGAAATGAGCTCGATTACCATGTACGGATCAGATCCAGGCCTGGTACTGGGAAGACAGATTGCAGTGAACGAAAAGTACATATGTTATGGATTGCGTGACGGCCGTATTCGCATACTCAACATCACAAATGCACAGAAAATATTGCTTCGCGACCATACACAGGTGAGGCCCTAAATGAGCATTGATTCGTCAGAATTCCAAGCTCTTTGCATTCTTATGTTTAAGAGTACGAGAAATAAATTCTGCTCCATACTCGATCCAAATTTAAATCATCCTTATGTTTGTGACAGAGAGTATCTGATATGGTTTTCTTTTCAGAGAGCGCGCATCTTTTTGCAAGGTAGACTTGCTTCAACTGAGTTCAGTGTCAGAAGTTTATTTTTACTCTTTCGCACTTTCTTGGCATTCATATGCTGGACTACTTTGCAAGTTTTGAACTGGATTCCAACGACATCTACCTTATTAGAGCCTCTAAGAAATATCTCACAGTTCTGCTTGCTGCTTTTCGATAATTGGGAAAGCCACATTTTAACCAATCTGACCTGTGGAATGCCTACATTTTCAGCGCGAGTGAAGATGGAAGAATTTTTGTACGTCGAATTTATGAAGGATTTGGGGAGGATGGGAAAATAACAGCGAACATTCTTCTCGGTATTCAACTTGTCGGGGATTGGGAAATGTGTCATCCTCGTCTGTGCTGGCATCCAAGTACGCAGGTAACCTCAGAACCTATTTTATGAGTAGAAAGAAGGAAAAGATGGAAAGTTACGTACAGATAGTTAATTCAAATTTTGGTTTTCAGCTAATAAACACATGTCACTATTGAGTCCTCTATGCCGTTCATAGTCAGACTTCAATTGTATAAATTCCAAGTTTAACGACCGCCTCAAATTCTTGTAAATACAGGAAATTATCTTCGTTGCGATTGGAAAATATGTTGTCACAATTGACATAAGCAAGACGGAGCAATCCACAGGCCATGACGGAATCAATTCAGAACATCCTCTTGTATGTCACTTAGGGAGTTCTCACAAAGGAATCTCAGTGACTGGACAACATGATGATGTAGTCACTGATTTATGTGTCCCTGCTTCGGGTCCATTCCGTTTGACATCAGCCTCAAAAGACGGCACGGTGAATAACCTCTTCTACTAATATTTTATTTCCATAATCGTCTGCAACATGTTGGTATACTGCCACTTCTTATTCGTAGTTTTATACTTCTGTTTTGTACACTTTGCTCTATCCTGCATTGTCAGTAACTAGATTTTGTTTCAAATGTCAACACAACTCTCATATGAAGTATGCAACCTGTGGTATAAACATTGAATAGTCGTTGAGTGGGATTTTGATGGTAAAGTTACTATACTTCTCTTCCCGCACTCCCTTCTTTCAGGTACGCGTTTGGGGAGAACAGAAGAACTGTCTTTCTAAGTTCACACCATACGATGGAAATGCTGTGGATGCAGTGCGCTATATATCCGCACCACAAAGCACGGGTCGGCAGTTTCTGCTTACAGGGGTATTCTCTTACTCTGGAGCACATGCAACCCATCTCAGTGTCATGAAATTGTATAATGCAAAAGGGAATATTTTAGTTACTATTTATGCGTCACAGTGGAACAATGTTATTGTTGTGTACAGCAAGTAAATGAGATGTTTTCGCACTTTCTCCCTTTTATCCCCTCGTTCCTTATTAAGTAATGATGTTGCACCATGTGCTGCTGCAGGGACCTTCGAATCAGAATATAAAACTCTGGAACCGTGATGAACTGCCGTCTAAGTCTAGTCAAGATGTTTGGAAATGCATCCAGACACTTGAGTTCCAAAGCTCTAGCATTTGCAAACCGGAGGAATCGTTTTTCAACCATATTATTGGGGCGCCTCGAGCAGGTCTCATTTTAATTGCTAATGCTAAGAAGCATGCAATTTATGCAATTTATATAGATTTCAACTCTTCCTCTGTCGCTCCTCGAATGGCCTATTTGGCTGAATTTTCGGTGGCGACACCAATCCTTAGCTTCACAGTTACTGATAATTCTGTCAACGAAAAGGGTGAGGGCATCATTAAGGTGTTCTGTGTTCAGACGCAAGCAATTCAACAGTATGCGCTTGATTTATCACAATGCTTACCTCATACTTTAGATGAGTACCATTCGGAGGGCTCTACTCCTAGCACCCCTAAAAAAAGCTTTAGTGTGACACAGGCACAATGGACTCTAACTTCATCTGCTTTCCCTGCACTTGAGAAAGGTCACCAAAATCTAATGACCACTTCGAGCTCCGCAGGAGTCACAATCGTGCCTTCCTTGGGTGCCAATCCTGGTATTCCTCCAAGGCCCACAGCATTTGGCAGCTTGGTTGAAATCGGGGGTCGTATGCAACAATATGTGACAGAAGCAAATAGACTAACCGATGCGACAAAAGCGATCTCACTTGTGCCTTCAAAAGAATCTCAAGATGGAATAGCGAAAGCAATAAATCCAACTTTTGCAGAAGGATCACAATCAAGTCCTAGATTGAACTCAAGACCGGAGGTTACGAGGGAAGTCCTGTCATCCTCGAACATGGTTAAACCACCTGCTCCAATTGCACGGAGGCGTTCAAGGTCAAGAAGTCCTGCGAGAGTGACCGATATGCAGTACGTATCCGCGCATAGTACTTACTCGAAGCACAGAGCTGAGAAAGCAGAAATGGGAAGGGACATGTGGGTGGAGGGGGACGGAACAGAAGCGCCACCTTCAGCACCAGTTGACTTGGATCGTACTTCTTCAAGTAGCCATTCTGTTGAGGATGAAAACTATTCGAAAGAGGAAAAAGAAGAGGTTCAAAGTAGCAGTGGTTTGCAACCAAGCACCATTCAGCAGCTTCGAAGCCCCCATTTAATGAGCCCTTCTGACATTTTGTCCCTTGCCGCATGCGCCAAAGGAGAAGTTGCCTCTGTTCAAAATGTTTCAGAAGATGCTCCTACTTCAGATGGAGCCTCAAAACTTGTAGATGTGGAAGATTGGCAAGAAGATACGCGATCGAGTCTTTTATTTAATCTGAAAAAGCTCGGCAGTGGAGCTATTCATCAGAATAAAATTGCCGACATATCAGATGACCCTAGAGAAGATGCGGTCGATGGCTCTACAATAGCCTCAATTTTAGGAGCCTTTGAGGGAGTTGATGAGAGCGGCACTCCGTTCATTGAAAAAGACATAGCAGTGGTCCAGAATGTGGGCGAATACGAAACTGAACTTGAATTGCCCGGGTTTGCGACTATGGCAGGTTGTGATGACGTCCAAACCGACAAGTTAATGGAAGAAAAGAAATTATCTTCTGCAGATTCAGATTCAAAACATGAACTGAAAAGTGTGCTGGCAAAGCAATGTGAAGCGGGTGTTGGTAATTTTACTGCTCAACAACCTGTAAAAGGAAGGAAGAGTAAGAATAAGAACAACGTCGCTACTTCAGGCCTACCTCTGATCACTAATCCCTCACAATCCTCCGCGGCTCCTGCAACACTGAGTGAATGTGAAACGGTGTCAAGTCTGAATTCGGCTCTATTGGACCCTGGCCTAACAACTCAAATTGCTACGATGCAAGAGTCACTAAATCAGGTCCTTTTCGCTAACTTTATTATTGGCGTTGATACTTCTCAGCCTTCTGGTGATTTTGAGGACGCTTATGAAAGCCTAAAATATGAACTTTCATCTTTAAATTGTATTAAATTTCTTATGTTACTTAGGATGTTCATTTTTGCTATGTTCAGGTGCTTGCAATTCAAAGGGAGCTGCAGAAGCAGATGACAGTATTGACAGCAGCTTCCCTTTCTAAGGAAACCAAGAGATTGGAAGGTCTGTCATGATATTCTGGTCAACTATATTTCTTGTGAATACTAGTTCTGATTAGTATTTGTGAGAGTTGAAGATATTGATATGACATTTTTCTCGATGCAATGATTTTTTATTGGAATTTCGTCAATATGGATTTGACGCAGGCGCTTTTGGCCAGCGTATGGAGAAGATTGTTAAAGCAAATGTGGATGCCATGTGGGCACGGATCGGTGACGAGAAAGGGAAGAGAGAGAAGCAAGATCGTGATAGAGCGCAGCAATTCTCTACATTTATAAGCAATTTTATCAGTAAGGATATGCCAGCTGCCTTGGAAAGAGTACTAAAGAAGGAAATAGCTTCTCTCGGGCCTACAATTACTCAGTTTCTGCTTCAACCTCTCCAAAAATCAGTGTCCACAGGAGCGACTGAGACTTTCCAGGTATGACCTAAGTAATTTAAGCATTTTAATGAACCACAAATTTTTAAAACTGTCATGCTACCATTATTAACCTGTGAATTAGTCGGCATTTTTTTCGTTGAACACCACTGGCTTTCACAGTTGGAAATCAGTAGCGCTAAAGGTTGACTCAGGTAATTCATATGAACAGCTTTTTCGAACATCTTACGATAATCTTATTATGAAGCAATTATACGTAGTTTGATTGGGTGGTTGGTCTTGTTGCACTGCAGAGTGCTATTGAAAAAATTCTGCCACAGTTTGAGAAAACAACACTTGCAAGGTTGGAGGCTGCTATGATCAGGCAACTCAAGACTCAATTTCAAACGACTGGGAGACAAGCAATGCAGGTATCTCAAACAACATGTGAGGTTGACACTGTAGTAAAACCTCCGTTCTAAATTGTTTCAAATTATTTCTAAACAGCTGTGAGAATTTGTTATAATGAATTGGAATTGACGATCTGATGGGTGAACTTGTTGCCAGGAATCACTTCGGAGTGGCTTTGAGAGTTTAGTGATACCAGCATTTGAACGGTCTTGTCAATCCATGTCAGCACAGCTAAGCACTGCCTTCTATAGGGGTATGGCTGAGCATGCTTCTGATGGCCAGCGGCAATGTTCTTCAGCAGATACTACTCTTGCCACTACTCTTCAGGTCCTTCGACTATCCTACTCTCCCTTCCCTCAATTGTTAACATAAATTACAGATGCACGTATGCCTCACGGAAGTTTCCACAGGAGCAGCCTTTTTTTTTATGGGTTGCTTTCAATTCTAAAAATGTTAAACTCAATCAATGACTATTCCTTCAATCATCTTCACCACTATTTCCACCATAATTGATATTAAGTGTGCATGTATTCAGTTGGAAATTTTATTTTTAAGTTTTAGACGTTTTTTCAAATTAGTGGCTACTTCTGTCGATATCTAAAATCCTAAACCATTCGTGCTAATCAATATCAATCAAGCAATTATTAAGTTAGAAGTACTGTACCTTGAATCAGCTAACTATCATGGATCTTGATTTTCAACTTCACAGGAAGTAATTGGCGACGCCTCAGCTTTAGCGGAAGTCTTGAAAGAGGACTTGAAGGATAGCACTGAAAAGCTTCTCGATCTTGTGGAAGCGGCGAGTGTAAATGTGTCGCGATATGGCGAGATTCAGCAGAGCAAAGGGAGCTTACCTGAAAAGGTGGATGTTCAACACACATTGATGTCGTTACTATTTAGTTTGACTAGTTATGCTGACGTACCAACTGAAGTACTTCTAAACAGTATTATCTTTTTCAGCATAACCAGTATAGAGTTAGCCAGTCATTAATACGGCGCTTTTTTCATCCAGGCGCTCTCGGCACAACAATTGGAACAGACTTTAGATCCAACCATTGAGCTACGCAAACTGGTTCATGAAGGAAAAATGGAGGAGGCCTTCAACAAAGCACTGTCATCTAGTGAATTTCAACTGGTTTCTTGGCTGTGCCAACAGGTTTACTGCCCATCTCACATGATTAGCTGAAAGTTGCACGTTCCTTTCTACTGTTCATTGAAGATACAATTCCTGAGCAGTTGTGAGCAGAGAGAGGTGTAGATAAATGAGCGCTGATAGTCTGTTTACGTATTTTCCTGTTACTGTTCGCTCATATTCCTCTTTCATGATAACTGTGTCCAGCTTGACCCCAGTGACCTTTCAACGATGCCTCCGCCTTTGAGCCAAGGAGTGTTGCTGTCTCTGGTGCGAAACTTGTCCTTTGATCTGCACAAGGACACAGGGCATAAGATCCAGTGGATTAAAGAGGCGGCACTAGCCCTGGATCTCAATGACCCTCGCTGGATTCCACATATGCGTGGATGCCTGGAACAATCCTACCTAAACTGCCTACAAATGATGGATGTTGCAATGATGCAGTCCGAGCAGACAGCATTAAAGCTTGTTGTACATATCATCAACTCTTTGCTAAGTTCTTGCAAATGACAGGGGATCTACGGCGCCGAAATTGAATTGAAGGTACTTCTACTTTTATAACCGTTGTTCCACGAAGAATGGTAAGCACAGACCAATCCTGGGGAAAACTTGAATCCTTGAGCTCTCGCTAGAATGTGGTCGGGGTTCGTTTGAGATCGTCGCAGACAGGAACATGCACACATTCTCTTGTCAAATAGGAAGGAAGGCTTCTGCAATGCCCTGCAGAATTGCGGTAGGCATGACCTTTGAAATAGCCCCTATTTGAGAACTTCAGAGCCGAGTACGTTAACAAACCCCGAACAGATATACAAGCTATGTTGCTTTAATTCTCTTCCCTCCTTATGACTGGGGATTAAACGAAGAACGAAGACACACTCCCTGCAATACCCACTTCATGCACCTGTTTCAATTCGTAGCTTGAGGCGTGCCCAACGTTACGAGTTCTGAACTCTTTTAAGGTATGCAGGCAGACATGCAGTGTGCGTGAATCGGTTCTCATGACCCCGCTTATTCCAGTTGGCTTTTGAATAGTGCATGTGGAAGGCAACAACAGGACCAAGTTTTGGTACAAATGGCACTTGGAAGGGGGCCAAGCACATGGTAGTTTGTGGAAATCATCAAGATGACCTCTGTGCTGATGTTAACAGTACTTCTATGTTGTTCTCCTTGAGAGAGTTCAACTTTTAACTAATCTACAGTAAATGATTAGAGAATATAATGAGGTATAGGAATTCTTTCAAAATATTATACTTTTCAAGCTGTGTGTTATGTTTGAGTAAGGTTTAAATTATATTTATGTATGATGGAGTACTTTTCTTCTTAATTCCATCCATTGTGAAGATAGAAGATTGGACAAAGGAACGTAAACAAGACATCCATCCCAGGAAGACTATGTTATATATTGGTTAGGCCTTTTTGATTTTATAAATTTAATTTGGTGTGTATTTTGCTAATATAAATGGTAACAGAGGTTGGATATTTTTGTCCTTAATGATATATATATATATATATATATTGATTAATGTGCAATTTTTGTTTATTTTATTTATTTATATATATAAATATAAATATATATATATATATATATACATATTGTTTTCTTTTTTTATTTTATTTTCAAGTTTTAGACTAAACTAAAGTTTTGATGGCCCTTTCTTGCCATAGATCTATTTCCATATATATATTTAGGATATATTTACTAAAGTTGAATCTTTGTACAATTATTTAATGTACTCTTGTTAGAATTTATTCTTTGGTTGTACTCCAACTTACAAATATATTTAGTTGTAGTTTTATATATTAAAGAATCTTATTTTAATATTTATAAGATTTAGGTAAATATAAAATTCTAAATTTTCTCCTACAGTACTATAATTTTAAAATGTGTTGCTATTGTCACCCCAATTTTTGCTAATCACCATATGGTATTTGAAAATTTTAAAATCTTTATGTTAAAAATTTATTCTTGAACCTCAATTCTTAAACTTGTTCTTGCATCAAGAAATGCTCTAGGAGCTAGTGCACAAGGTTTACATCATAGAGATACTTGTTGGTATAAAAAATAAAAAATAAATTGAATGAGAAATTCATTTAAGTTAATTTAATCTAATTGTTAGCCCTTCTTACCAAAGACATGCTCCAAATTGAGCTTAGACTTTGAATTTTATGCAGGATTTTGAAATGTAACATAAAATTATTTTTTGTATACAACAAAATATTATTTGAAATATTAGTATCAATTGAGGATATAATATTTATAATATTGGAGTATGATTTAAGTTAATAGTTATAGAAATTTCTTTTATTTGGATATTTTTATCTATTTTGATTATAATGGTTGTTAAAAATTAAAATATTAAATACCTAAGTACTTTATTAAATTATAATTTAAATGTGGAATTGATAAGATATTATATTTTATAAAAAATAATATTTTATATTAATTATTTATATTAAAAAGTGAAATTTTGTAAAACATATTTTAAAGAATTTTTAACTATAATAAAAATTAATTAGCTTTTTTATTTTATAATAAATAATTAGATTTTTATGTATTATCTTAGCTAATTTTTAAAATATTTTTACTAATATTTTATAATATATAAGAAGTATAAAAAAATCTTATTTTAAGAAAAGTATATATTCTTTTTAGAAAAAATATTATATATAAGTTTTCATATATTATTATTTTTAAATCAATAAAAGTATATGAAAATTTTAAATTTTTTTCTAAAATTGTATCAAAGAAAAGAACTTAAAGAATGAAATTAATTAGAAAAGATATGTTTCAAAGAGAGATAACAAAAATCAAATGAGAAAGTATGTGTATTTAAAAAGAAATTGTAATGACTATTGTGAAGACAAGAAAGCTATAGACTCTTAAAATCAAAGAGAATAAATAACAAAGGCTTCACTCTTGTATTTATATATACTATCTCACTAAAAGCTAGATAGTGATGTTTTCTAGAATCTCCAACATATGTCGAACTCATATAACATATATCTATCTTCCGAGGCAAATTTCTTATATGTGTATTACATGGCCAACTTTTACCACAAGTAATTAATATATGTAATATGTAGATAACTTGTTAGCCAAGCTTTCAATTGTCAAGGACATAAATTACAAAAAAATAAAAGATCAATATATTCTTGTGTTACTTGAAAAGAATACATAAGCACTAAGAGATGGTATAGTATTAAATTAAAAATACTATTGTCAAAGACAAAAATAAACTATAATCTCTAGAAAGAAGACTAAAGTCAAGAAAGAAATTAACAAGAATGAAGAAGACTCATAGTTAGATTATATATATATATATATATATATATATATATAATTTAACTATGAGTTACATGATAACATTTTATAAGACCTTAGATACACATCCAACTTGTGAGATATGTGTCTAACTTGCAAGATGAGTTTCTTAGATGTGCACCACATGGCCAGCTTATACCACAAGTCGCCAACATGTGTAATATGTAGCCAACTTATTCACCAAGTTTTTAACCTATCAATCAACTACAACTACATGTAAAGTCAAATGTGTATTTATAAAGCTTTTAAGAAGTTTTATCACAAGATATTATTAAATCTACCTACATATTGAAGAAAGAAAAGTTAAAAGCCACAACACTAAGCATCAATAAGGTTGCACACAAAGAAAAGAATGGAATAAGATGACTCTCACTTCCAACACTCTTTACTAATAGCTGAAGTTTATATCTATTATAGATGAACTTCATCTACAATTACTTTCATCTTTCTTTGCTACATCCACCTAAATCCTAGATTCTTCTTAGCCTAGCTGCAACCTAGAGTTCTAGCCGCTACCATAGTAACTTATTTTAATCCTTTATTATCTTTTAATTATTAGCAATTTACTATAGTTGAACTCTATGTGGTGGCAATTATACAAGATCTTATTAATCTTCAACACTATATTTATCATTTAACTAAAACTTCTTATTTATATAATAATATATGTCCACAACATCAACCTATCAATTATCTGTCAACATTTAAAATTCAAATTTGCGTCTATAAAGCTTCTAAGAAGCTTCTCTATAAGATATTATGAAATCTATATACTTTTACTTATTTCTATTTAATTCATTTAATCTAAATAATTTTTAATATAAATATGTATATTTATGATATTATCTACCTTTCTAATCATGAGTTCCACAACGTATCATGATTACATGGTGAGAAAGTCCAAAATATAATAAATTATATTAAACATGTATTTTGAATTTTATTCTTTTTAAAGATAGTTGATAGGTCCTCTGAACCATTGATAGTATCTCATATAAGAAATGGCAAAAGGCCACCTTGTTATTTTATTTTTTTTAGGCTTATAAAACTTCCTTCAAATAAAACAATTCAAATACCATTAAAGGTGGTTTCTATTTCCAATAATACCACCAATTGTTGAAAACCTCTTCTAAGATTGTAATACCAAATATGTTATATTTTATAATCAGATTTATAAACATGTTCTTTGTCAAATGTTATGTTTGAAGGTATTCATTTCTTTTGTATTATCTTGAAGGACATGACAATCTTAATACCTTATTTAATAACTTAGCAAATGATAGCTTTTGACTTAAATCTGTTAATTATTAGTTCTCTATTTCTTTAGCACCACAAATATACAAAACTACAAACAATGATAGAAGACAAAATGCATACTTTATTGAACCTTATTTTTATTATAGCAAAATATTTCTTGACTTTTCAACTTGGTTTTGATTGATATTGTTGATGAAAATTATTGACCTTTTCTATTGTGTTTAAAAGATTCTTTGATGACTCTTTTGTTTGCTTAGTAATATTATATTCTTGCTAATGTACAAATTATTTTAATATGTTTCAACATTGCCTTGAATCTAAGACCTCTTCTATCTAAAATTCTTCATTATTTTCCATTTTCATAGGAAGAGGTAGCATTTGTCTTCTTTCTAGTATATTTATTATGTTTTATAGTTGAAGAAGAGACACATAAAAAATATAATGGATCTTTAGAAACTTTGGTAAGTATAATTAATATGCAAGTAAATTTCTTTACCTACAAATAAAAAAAATGGCCCAAGCCTACAATAACTTAATTTTTTATAAGAACAAATAGTTTTGATATTACAACAAAGTAATCATACCTTGTTGCCAATATAGAATTAAGATTATTTTTTATAATAAGCATCTACATTAAGCTTTTGTTATTCTTGAACTTCTTTTAATTGCCTTTAATGTTGAATGTAGCTCAAATAAATAATTTTTTAAATCATTTGCCATTAGATTATCAACTTTTGAAAAGTCAAAAGTATTAAATTATTAATGATAACCATAATTAGCATAACATGGTGATCATTGAGTAGAATAATGTATCATATTATTATAGGTTAATTTTGCTAATGGCAAAAGAATTATTTAATTAACTTGATAATAATTGATAGTGCATCTGAAATAGTGCTTTAATACTTATTTTACATATTTTATTTATCCATTAATTTACAGATGGAAAGCCGAAGATAGTTTTATATCCACCTTCTATATCTCGAAAAGAATCTTTCAAAACCTTAATACAAATTAAGTTCCTCTACTTAATATAATATCCCTTAGTAATCTATTATAGCAATAAATAGTGTCAAAAAAAAAGTTTAGTTGTTTCTTTCATATCAATAGATTTTTTATATGATACAAAATATACCATCTTAATGAAACAATCTATTATTACGAATATAAAGTTATAAGAGCTTGAGATTGAAAGACCTTTAATAAAATTCATAGAAACAGATGACTATGGTAATTTAAGTATAGGTAGTAGTTAGAAATGTCTACAAGGTTGATGATAAGAAGTTTTTGTTTTAAACAAAAATCACAAGTTTATACAAAGTCATTAATTGCTTTCTACATGTGAAAATCTCTTGAAATTAACATTAATATCATGTTGTATTTAAAATGTCTTCCAAGTGAGAAAATATGACTAAATTGAAGAGCTTAGAAGTGTGCTTCATTTTTTAGAACATATAAGCAATCTTAAAAATAAAAATAAAAATAAACTATTATAAAATTCAAACTTAGAAGTATTGTAAGATTTAGAAGAATTATGCTTAATACCATAATCAAGAGGATTTGAGGACATACATGATTGGACTAGGTCAAGACTATTAAGAATAATTCTTCTAAATCTTATGATATTAAAAAAAAGATGTCAATACATATTGAATTCTTTCTATGCAAGCAAAATACACAATATACAAGTCCTATTAATAGTCCAAAATATTAACGTCAATGTTCTTGAACATTTTGGTAAATTCTGCAAACAAATTTCAACCAAAATCGAAACAAAAATTACACAAATCTAAAAGAAATGCAACAGATCAGTATCTACATGTTATTACCCTAAAAAAATATGACAGAATTGTGTGTTTCCCTGTATCCCTAATTATACAGAAGGCAAGAAGAATAAGAAGACCCAATTCCGTCCTAAAAAAAAAGCCACTATTAGAACCCCATCGCTGAAGATGACTGCTGATTTCGGCATCAAAGCTCCCGGAAATTGATCAGCCAACGGAACCGAGCAAGCTCCGGAATCGATGAAGCGACAACGGCGATTACAAAAGCAGATTAATGGTGGAGCAAAACCCATGTCTCACAATTTCCTCACCATTGCTCATCATGGTTGTCTGTGGGCGCCATTATTGAGGCCAGTCAGTCATCGTCTCATCTCCACTGAACACACACACACACCAAAACAAAAAAAGCACTAAAAAAATACACATAATTCGATAGCCACAGTTGGGTTGTCGTTACAGTTGTAGTATCCGAGGTTAGCTATCCTCGATTGATCTCTGAATGCTCTTTTTCTTTCGAGGTAAGGTTTGTATTGTTGTTGCTGCTGCTGTCTCAAGGGTTGTGTTTAGTAGCGGCTGGTGGTTTTTTTTTATTTGTTGTGTGATTTGCGAGTTTGAATCTTTTTGACATGCGGCATGGAGTTGTAAGATTTGTGGGTTTTGGAGTATGTTGATTCGTGAGTTTTAACGTTGAAGCTTACGAAGAGGTTGTTGGTGTGTGTGCGTTTTGGTTGAAGTCCATCAGGTTTTTGAAGTTTTTGAGTGTGTGGAGGAATGCCATGGTATTGTGGTGGTTATGGTGAAATTTCCGAATCACGGACTTGATTTGAAGGTGGTGGGTGGGTGGGTGTGTGCGGAGCGTGAACTGCGGCTTGAGTTCAGCACAAGAGAGGGTGAGAAATGGAGTTTGTGACAGTGGAGGCCAACGAGGTTGTGTTGTCGTTGAGAATATTCAGGCCGCCGTTTGATGTGAAGAAGCAAGACTTGACGCTGGTGATGGTGCACCAGTACTCGGTGCTAGGAGGATGTCAGGCGCTCCTGAAGGGCATGGCCACCGAGCTCGCCAGTCGTGGCTTCACGGCCGTCACATTTGATATGCGCGGAGCGGGAAGGTCCACTGGAAGGCCCTCGCTCACGGGCTATGCCGAGGTGCTAGATGTGGTGGCTGTTAGCAAATGGGCTACAGAGAATCTCGATGCCCATTCCATCATCCTGATCGGCAACTCCGCTGGTACCATGGGCCTCCCTTCTCTTTAATCCCTTTCCCCCCAAAAAAATCCGCATTCATCTTCAGTACTTCGATGCAGCTCATTTCGTTCCTCTTGTATTTATGCTGGACTGACCTGCAATCAAGTGGTAGGGAATTTCGAATAGAGATCTAGTATAACTACTTTTCTGTTTTTTTCTTTTTATTTATTTATTTTTTTTACATCAACCTGTTGCAGATTTTTGAAACTGAAAACGGGTTAAAGTTTTCCTGAAGCCTTACTTTTGTGTCGTGAAATGCAGGGGCACCCATTGCAGGATCTGCAATTGATGAAGTGAAGGAGGTTGTAGGCTACGTAGCTTTGGGTTATCCTTTTGGAATGTTAGCCTCCGTCCTGTTCGGCAGACACAACAAACCAATCTTGGCGTCTGAAAAACCTAAGCTCTTTGTTATGGGAACAAACGACGGCTTCACATCAGTTAAACAGCTGGAAGCCAAGCTTAAGACGGCAGTTGGGAGGAATGAGACACGATTAGTACCGGGGGCGGGCCACTTTGAAATGGAAGGGCCAGCGTTTGATCGGCAGATGGCGGATTATGTTGTTGAGTTTGCTGCGACCTTGCAAGCACAGCCTCTAGCCGAGGCTTCAAGTACAGACTTATCCGCAGTTGCAGGTGAAGGACCTAGCTAAGTTTTGTTTATTGATTTAATTCTCTCTCACATTGGCCATTTTGTGGTAATTCGTGTCAGGGTGTTGTGTTACGCAGCAGCGTACACCTGTGATAGTCCTGTCACCCCTATTTCTTGCCTCGTTTGTGCTGAATTTTGTCCACAACCTTCTGAAGACGTTTGTATACAGGACTATGTAGATATTAAGCTACAGTTGCAAGCTTTTCAGCCGCATGCATGCATGCATATTTATATACATATACACACGCTAACATCATAAACACGTTTTGGATATCATCCTTTGTTCAAATTATAAATGCGCATCCCAGGGTCCATTTCGGGACAACCATCTTTTTAACAACGTATTGTTTCATCAGTTTTAAAGATGTAACGTCATTTTTTGGAATACATAATTTCCGGTGGTTCGGAAGTTTTCACAGACGACTTCCGAATTGTGCAGGAATTGTTTCGTCGCTCTGAATGATTAACATTGCAAAGTAATTCTTCTTCTGAAAGTATGAGTTCTGACTGGTCTGTCTTGGAATAGTCCTTGAACTTAGAACTTGGGCACAGGCTCCATACCTAGACTGCCTGCATACTCAAGGTCTACAGCATTTTGTTTTACTGGATTTTTTGTTGTGTTATGTTTCTTTCCTCAATCTATTTGTAGCGTAGGGGCTTCCAGCCTTGTTTGGCTGAAATACAGAGGTACACTTCACTCTGTAAACAAATCAAACCTCAAAGACTTACAGATTTGGAACCTCTAAATTTCCTTAGTTTAACTTGTTCGATTGAGCGATTTGAACGTCGCTACAAAATTCATGCAGTGGGTGACGGAAAGTGTTTCAAGGACTTTACCAATGCCCACAAGTTAGGTTTTCAGTGTAAATTGTTACAAGGCGAATGAGAGTTGAAATCGATTTCTTCATGCTCGTGAATGAAAGATACTGTTCCTATCTTTTGCAATAACTCGGAGACACAAATGTGCACATTTTCATCAGACGTAGTGAACCTGAGTTTGTTGGAGAGGGCAAAGTATACTTAAGACGTCATAATGAAGATCCCAGATCCTTGCAGTGACTGTAAAAAACTTTTATCTGGACTCAAGCTCGGGAGGTGTTATCCCTGGCCTTCCCTTATTGGTAACGAATGGATGGCACCCTATTTGACACAGAATGTAGTTCACGACGGCACAAGTAACACTTTCAGAGAATCGTATCAGCAGTTGAATTACATTGGTCCTTCACTGAAAAAATACAGCCCAATCTCTGGGCCAGTTCGAGAAGATTCTCGACTGCGTGGACCTGCCACTTAAAGCTAATCTTTCAATCGATCTAGTGAACATGTTGAGAGTAAGACATCGGTTTCTGAAAACATGGCTGCGCATCATTGACCGCATCAAAATTTCTTAGTACACGAATGGCCTTGTGGGTCTTCGACGTAGCTGAATTGAAGGTGAGTTAATTGTTCGTGAGAGATCGTCTCTTGCTACCCTTGTTCGGTGCATCGATGTGACGTCCTCTGCTGGTATTGTGCCTCCTACTCCGCCAACTTGTGCGTGTGCATTGAATATTGTATGATGCGACAGACATACATGGAGTGGAGAGTCACTCGACAGTAAGAATACACATTTGCGTTTCTGAGACAATTTGTGATTTGCGAAACACCATCACGACGATGGGCTCGACATCCAGTGTGATTCTGCTCGCGGTTGTGCTTTTTGTAGCGCATATGGGACTGCCGGAGGTGCTCGGGGCCCCGTATGGATAGAGAGATGCTCACATAACTTACTATGGCTCTCCCAATGGCGGTGGAACGGAAGGAGGTGCTTGCGGGTACCAAAACACTTACTCGCTGGGGTATGGCTTCATGACAGCGGCGTTGAGCTCGTCTTTGTTTCAAGGTGGAAGCTCGTGCGGTGCGTGTTACCAGATCAGGTGCGAACCCATTAGGGTTACACGCACCGTGAAGAACTGGTGCTGGAGCTACTCTCGAACCATCACAGTCACCGCCATAAACCTCTGCCCACCGCGATCCAGTGGCGGATGTTGCAATCCCCCTCTCCAACACTTCGACTTGCCAATGCCTGCCTTCCTGAGTCTGGCAAGGCGAGAAGGTGGCGTCGCCCCCGTTTAGTACACCAAAGTGCGCAGTGAGAAACGAGGTGGGATTCGGTTCACCATGGGAGGTAACCTCTGGTTCCTGACGATACTCATTCACAACGTTGGCGGCGCGGGTGACGTGAGATCCGTCAGGATAAAATCACCACACTCGGGGTTAATCTCCATGTATCGTAACTGGGGCTCGCTGTGGACGGTCCGAGCGAGGATGTCCGGAGCACTGTTTTTCATGATCACCACTAGCCATGGTCGCGTTCTCATCACTCGGAACGCAGTGGGAAGCGGTTGGAGGTTTGGCCAGACCTGGGAGGGAAATTTCCCTTAATCTATGCACTTATTGCAGGCGTTTGCAAAAGGTTTAGATTACAGTGTCAAAAAGAAAAAGAAAAAGGGATGGACGCTCTCTCGATCAACCCAGGAAGCTGTAGGTGCTAATCCGGATCAAGCGAATGCTGCAACTTCTTTGAGCACAGTTGAGGAGATGCAACCATCTAACTAATCATTTCAACCGACGTCAATCAATCCGACTTTCATTTAGTTTTCCTGCTGTCTGAGCGATGCAACGATGAAAGAGTTTCGTACCGTAAATAGCTGAGCAGCGCTGTTTGTCTGCCGCTTTTAGAACATCAATCTGCCCAGTAGTCGAAACACATGCCAGTCCGTCTCTCGGAATTGGAGAGTCAGATAACTTGTTACAGCCCAACATCTCCGCCATCGTGTAGTTCCTTTCTGTAACCAAGAGATGAATTCCTCCTCGTTTCGATGAATGTTGCGGGCTTCGGAGATGGGTGATCTGTGCATCTGTCATCAAGTTTACTAAAATTTGGCATTCCTGCGTGAAAAAGCATCTAGTGCTCTTACGATTATCTCATTGGCAAAGCGTTGAATACTAGCAAACTTGTCACTCTGAGATTATGTAGCTTTCAACGGAGATCTGCTTTGTATGAGCAGGGTATTTGTACCTGTAAATTTATTCTTAATAAAAACCTTGTATGAGGGTGGGGTATTCAGATTCCTAAACAACTCTATCAAATGCTAAGAGAAGAAAAAAACATGTGTAAAGTATATCAACATGTTGATATTTGGCTTGAATATGTTTGATTGTAAAAAGAAAAATGATGCCCAAGCCTCTTGAAACTAGGGTTTTCCCTGAAATATCTAATTTAGCTTATTTTAGGATCAAGTTTTGTTTTAGGTGAATTAGAAATGGATGAAATTCATATATATGGCTATGCAAAAACATCTGTCCTTGTCAAATTTGACAGACTTTGTCAAAAATTTTAGAATATTGGATACTTTCAAGCAAGAAGTCCATGAAGCACTACCCATATTCGTCCTTCTCTCACCCAATCATGGAGAAGTTGGATTCAACAATGCTTGTATTAGGAAAAATCAAGAGTAGCCTGCCACAAAAAAATTGAAGTTGTCAAAACTAACTATCACAATGGACCCATCTAAAAGAAAATTCTATTTGTAAATTGGGGCACTTGCTAATCATATCCTTGAAAATCATATCTCCCCACTAGGTACATACTATGGCTTGGTGGTCATTCTAAATATCCTCTATGGATAAAGTATTCCACTCAGTTGATTCCAATCACAACCTATGACAATAGATGTCAAGGACATGAATCTCAAAAAATGATAATCTTCAATACACTCTTCTATCACTAAAGAAAACTAAAAAGTCACTCAAAAATGATATATTATTGAACAAGAATGGCTATTGCCAAAGACAAGAAGACTAGAAAGTCTTAGAATAAGACTAAAGACTAGGAATGCATTGACAAGAGTGAAGAAGGCTTCACTCTTGCCTCCATATATACTATCTAACTAAGAGCTATGTGGTGAAGTCCTATATGACCTCCAACATGTATTGACTTTGTTAGCCACATATCTTATCTTGCAAGGTAAGTTATCTATGTATGTCCCATGTAATTGGCTTGTTCTACAAGCTACTACATGGATATAACTTGTTCCACAAGCTACCAATACATGGTTAGCTTTTTGGCCAAGTTTCTAATCTACAAACACATCTAAAGTCAAAATGGCATCTATAAAGCTTTTAGGAAGCTTTTCTAGAAGACTTTATAAAATTATTCTATATTTACCTACTTCTACTTAATCATATAAGTAACTATTGAGATAAATATATATGTCCATGATATTACCCTCCCTTCTACAGACGAGTTCCACGAGGAGTGGTCTTCATATGTTGAGGAAGTCCAAGACGAGGTAAATTGTATTTGCTATATACTCCAATCTTTGCTTTCTTCGAAGATGGTTGATAGGTCCTCTCAACCATCTATACTATCCCATTCTAAGGCGAAAAGACCACTATTTTATTTGGTCATTGTTGAGGCCCTCATAACTTCCTTCAAATAAAATATTTGAAACACTGTCAGGAGTTGTTCCTACCTCTAATAAAATCACTAAACATCGAAAGTCTCTTCTAAGGTCATGATACCAAACACATTGTATCTCGCCATCTATTTGAAGAAAGACATGTTGTTCTTGAGGATCTTCATCTCGATTTTGTCATCTTGAAGGTTGTGACAATTGTAATATCTCGTCTAGTAACTTCGCAAAGAAAAGCTCTTGAATTGAATCTACTAGTTGTTGGTGCTCCATCTCATCACAAATATATAAAAGCTATAATAAAAGATAGAAGGTAGAATGTTATTTTTCTTAGATCTTGTTTCTTTTATAACAAAGGTTTGTTATTCTTCATCTTGGTTTTGATGGATGTCATTGATGAAAGACTTCAACTTTCTTTGCTGTATTTGCAAGTTTCTTTGATGGCTTCTATGTGCATTCACTAATATCATATCCGTGCCAATGAATAAGATATCCTAACCTATTTCGGCGCTACTTTGAGTCTAAGACTTCTTTTACCTCAAACTCTTAGTTATTATCCATTTCTATAGGAGGAAGTGGCATTTATCTTCTTCCCAAGATATTCATTATCTTATACGGCTCTAGAAGAGATACGTGAAATACAAGGTGGATCTTCATAAACGTTGGTAGATGTAATCGATAGGCAATAAGATTGATTTGTTCACAAATAAGAAAAGGTCCCAGCCTACGATAATCTAATTTATCACAAAGACGAGTAGTCTTGATATTACGACGAAGTAACCATACCTTGTCACCCATATTATATTATGGTTGTTCCTTGCGATAGGCATCCATATTGGTCTTTTGTCATTCTTGAGCTTCCTTCAATTATATCTTCATCATTATATGTAGCTCTTAGAAGCGATTTGCTAAATCTTCCGCCATAGGATTATCAAATTTTGAAAAGTCAAAAGTATTAA